GAAAAAAAGAAATTGTTGAGAGGCTCTAAGGACACATCAGTCCCGAATCATGTCCATGAGTGATCAAGCCTCTGCCCTAATAGGTTCTGATTTTCACAATACATTGCACGAAGCTTCATGGTGGAAGCTTCGAATCTTTCTTTAAGGTTGTTGAGTGTTTATCAAAACTTTTGACATATTCTTCAAGCTTCAGAAGGCATTGATTTGTGGCAGCCTTAGTTTTATTCCTTGCCATGGCAGCCATTGAAACCAAACATCTCATCTCGATCGACCGGCTTTGGTACCATATGTCAGGAACCTTGTTGGATAACAGCAGCTAGGAAGCATCTTTTGGTTTAGTTTTTGGAGAGTCTTAAGGCTGGAGGACGTAAAAAAGGGAGATCAGCAGAGGGAGAAGAGATAGGAAAAAGAAGAGATCTGAAGGATAGAAGAAGAATAATGTTAGGGAAGATAAAGATAATTTTACTAATATTTTCCTCATAATTCTTCTACAAATTTGGGTACTATATATAGCAGTACCAGAGAGAAAAAAGACAAAAAATAATAAACTAGGTATCAGGTACAATGACAATTGGTCCATTTGTCCTTTTACTGGATATTCTTTTACAGCTGAATTAATAACAGAAAACACAAGCAGAAATTATTCCCTAGCATTCCCAGGTCCTGACAGACAACTTGAGAAGAAGAGGTGTTTGTGTTAATCGATAGATGCTCCCTTTGCATGCTTGACAATGAATCACGAAAGCACCGATTCCTATGGTGCACGGAGGGAAGAAGATTGAGTGACTCAATTATTAGATGGATGGGCATCAGTTGGGTTTCAAATGGCTCTATTTTCTCTAAACTTTTGGCTTGGGATGGCATCCGGGTTGACAAGAACAACAAGAAGCTAATTGCTCTCATTCCCTACTCTTTTTTCTGGAACCATTTGCAAAGAACATAATAGACGAGTGTTTTATGGTCTTATATCTAATTTTTCCAAGATTAGAGATGGATATATCCAGACCTTATGTTTTTTGTTCAAAGGTTATCCTTTTCATTATGGAGAAGATCTAGAGAACCTGTTGGACATTTTTATTGATCCTATTTGTAAATTTCTTTCTTGCTGATTTTTGCACTGGGATGGCACCCCTTGGTGCCTTCTGTATCTTTTTCTAGTAAAAAAAATATTGTTAATACAAACTATTTGCATAATGAAATTATAAAGATAAATTAGATATTAAACAATTGGCCTTACACGTCTTCTTAATAGTATTGGCAGTACTTGATCTAGATAATACTCTGGGGCTGACTTCCTTGGAACACGCATAGTGTAAGGAGGTTTCTCCATCGAACGCATAACTTTATCAGGAACTCTTTTCACAATAGTCACATCTTTGACAAGGGAAGAAATGAACCAATCAACATCAAAAATGTTGGCAAAGTCACTGCACACCAAATAAGGTACTCGCATTAAACAAACAATCCTAAACTTTCCTGCATGCATTTATGAGGGAAATTTTTATATATAGATTATGAGACATCTGTATATGAATAGCATCTCAATCTACCTATCATCCTTCCAATAAGAATGATGGTCCAACTCGGGTACAACCAATGTAGCATTTAAAATCCGTGCGACAACAACAGCATCTGTGATCTGGCCACCATAAATCAATCATCAACTCCCAAATTAGATAAATTCGCACGCAAGCAAACAAATAATTTATTCATTTCTTAAATTACTACTGTACAAACCAAAAGCTCGCATACGCTAATCTTGCATCTCTATATCAACTAGCCCAGACATTGATTTCTCACACAAGTATGTAAGTACAGCCAAGATATGCATTTTACTTCGATTTCACTGAAATTAAAGTCAGTGGGATGGGAACTGAATAAAATACAGATGGGATACAGACTTGAATGAAAAATATTTTAATTCCAAATTAATTCAACGTCCAATTCAAATTAAATGTTTTCTACTTTCTTCCTTGACCAGTGGAAATACAATCCCATCAACATGAAATTGGAAACATAAGCAGGGTTAAGTTAAATATCCATTGAATATCTAAACTATGGTTAGATGCTACTTATTGAATAATTAAGATCTAGAAATTAAATGAAAATATAATCAAGTCAAACACAACCCAATATCCAAAATATCTTTTTCCAGAAAAGATGTAACAATTTAACGAGAAGTATGGCACTTACTCCTGTTCTTTGTTGGTTGAGTCCTCCACTTGCTGCAATAAGCAAATAGCCATTTGATGACCGCTCCCGGATAGCAGCTAAACAACACAATTCAGAGTCAAGAAAAAGCAACAGACAATAAATATTAGAGTCCAATAAGACAGTTAAAATGGAAACAAAGAGCAAGCTTCTCTAACTAAGATAATGGTGCTAGCAAATGTTGTATTACAAACAAAATTCAATGCAACAGTAGTTTCTACCTTCCTCTTTTTTTGAAAGATAGTTCCATTTTTCTTCTAGTAGAGAACAAAGGCAAGAAAACAGTTTAAAATCATTTGGATTATTGCAACAAGAAAAATTGTTCAATAGATTTTTCCAAGCAAATTAGAAAAGAACTAACCTAAGTTATTATCCCCATGTATTGCAAGGTTAAATCACAAATCAACGCCCAGTCAATTTTTCCTTTTTTAATAATATAAAAAAGACATTAACATGCTAAAACCTTCATCAGTTACCGCATGCCAAAAAAACCTTCAGCAAAAGCAATGATATTCTTATGAACAACGAATGTTCTATAACAGACAAACAATTAATCCAAGCTAGTTGGCCAAATATACATAAGAAAAGGGTATACAGTACACTATGGCCAAAATTCATAAGATGCAATTTTAGTAGCTCATTTATTTAAGATAAGTGTTATATATTACCTGGAATAATTCCTATTTCTAAGACCAAAGAGCTAATCTTTGTTTTCTTAGTGAAAATGTGAATGGAAGTGTTGCCAATTTTTTTTTCAAAACAAAAAGTACACAAAAAGATGCACTTGTCATATTTGCTCGAAAACAATGAAAATTAGAGAAATATTTTAATCATTTTTCCATTTTTCCTCAAAAGTTTTAGTC